GAGGGGCAGAGAGAGAGGGAGACACAGAATCGGAAACAGGCTCCAGGCTCCGAGCCATCAGCCCAGAGCCCGACGCGGGGCTCGAACTCACGGACCGTGAGATCGTGACCTGGTTGAAGTCGGACGCTTAACCGACTGCGCCACCCAGGCGCCCCTCAGCAATATTCTTAAATAGGTAGCTGATAGTGTTCAGATTTTTATGTCTCTGATGATTTTTGAAAAATCTACTGCTACATAAATTGCTGAGGTATATTAAGATACATGATTATGGTCATGGGGTTTTCTATTTATTCCTTTAATTATTTATTGCTTTCATGTATTTTTGTAGTTCTGTTGTTAGACATAGACAAATTTATGACTGCATGTCCTCCTGACAGAGTGACTTGTTATCCTAGTGAAATGTCCCTCTCTGGGACTATAGAGAAAATGTTTTTGTGTTATTGCACAGTTAGGGCTTTCAGGGCAAATTTTACTGAAATTTGGGGTTCTGAACTAAAAGTAAACTTTAGGAATTAAGTTACAATTGAATACATTGTGAGGACTCCAGAGAGGTTTACTTAATCCCGGAGGTATGTGTTTACATTTCCGGGGGCTGTATGTATTTCTGAGTAGTAAAACTGAAGACCAATGGGCTTTTCATTGAGAGATTTATTTACACCCCCCCCCAAAGACTTATATATTTGCAATGAAACTCTCTCAGAAGAAGGGAAGAAGTTTCCTCTATTCCATTTGTAAAAAGCAGAGAAAAATTATTTCTTTTTTTAATATTTGCCTACAATACATAGATTCTGTGTGTGGAAGACATCTGACCTGGCTTCATTGTGTTGTTCCATAGGCAAGACCTGAGACACGTGGAACCACTCACTGGCTATAGTCTGTCTGAAAAATAATAAATCTCTAATCCAGAAACCTCTTATGTACATTGAGGAAAAAATTAATTGATAAATAGTAAAAATCTAAATGAGGGTGAGATCGGCATCACTGCAGCATTGGGCACACCTTATTTTTGTCCTGCAATAATAAAAATAAATCCACAAACATAAGCGCTTCTGTGTGAGTTGTGGAACCCAGCGCCTTGCACCACGGGACCCACGGTGGGTTTAGCTCACCGGTCTACCAGATATCAGTACTTGCTGTAGAACCTACAAGAGACTGTGAATTGGTTCCCGCCCCTCTCAGATGTGATCTGGGAGTGCATGCAGAACAGTGAGTTAAGCAATCACTTTCAGATCATAAAGCCTTTGGGGGAAGTCCTGATTTCCAGAGGAAAAGTTTCAACATCCACTAGAGGAAAAAAAAAAACGAGTTTGTAGGCACTAGATTGGGTAAGACCTTGTCTTTATCAACATCACCGCTTCCCAAAGGTGGTATAGCACAGGGCTAAATAGATGGCCTGTATTTTCTCCCACAGGGAAAAGGGAGAGCCTGGGCATGAATGAGTGCCCAGTTTTCAAATTTGTGCAGGACTTTGCTGAAGAGACTCATTTTTCTCTCACAGCATCCGGAGCATCACTGGATGAGCTCCATGAGCTCACGGCATCCAGAGCATCATGGAGAGCTCCATGAATGGGGAGAAGAGGCAAATCAGGGCTGTAGTATATAAGATTCTCAGAGGGCATAAAAGGGATATAGTTCCTGCTGATGTATGTGTTCCAGACTCCATCAGGTTCATGAAAAATCAAGGAAAGAGGACATACCCAAAAGATCACAATCATCTTCCAAAAACCAAACCGAAACAAAGACATGAAAATGTATGATTTACCCAATAAAGAATTCAAAAAAGCTGTTTTAAGGAAACTCAATGAGTACAAGAAAATACAGAAAGAAAATTTAAGGAAATCAGGAAAAGAACACATGACCAAAATGAGAAATTTAACAAAGAGATAGAAATCATAGAAAAGAATCAATGATAAACTCTGGAGTTGAAGAATTTAATGGAATAGAATCACAACAGAGAGAATCAAAAGCAGAGTAGACCAAACAGAAGACAGAATGAGTTAGAGGACAGGCACTTTGAAACACCCAGTCTGAAGACAAAAAAGAAAAACAAATTAGAGAGTGAAGAAAGCCTATGTGATCTATAGGACACTTATAAAACAAAACAAAACAAAAACAAATTTCTGAATCAGTTCCACAAAGAGAAGAGATGAGGGAACAGAAAGCTTCAAGAAATAATGCAGATAACTTCCAGATTCTGGGAAAAGATTTAGACATAATAAATAGATCACCCCATTATTTTCATTCAAAATGTCCTTGTCTAAGACACATCATGATAGAAACATCAAAAATCAAACTGTAGAGTGCTGACAACACTGACTCCATCTTTGGCCCTCCATCTTGTTCATGTTCACTTGATGACCTCTCTTGGGGGCTACATATCTAGACCCCTTGGAGATTAATATGGTCTTAGAAAAGACCACCAAGGCCAGGATGAGAAGAGGCTTGCTTTGGTCTCCCATGTATCTGTTAGAGAACATAGTTTTGCCCCTTCCTGGTGGCACAGGGGGTGCCATAGTATCTAATTAAAGATTATCTGCAAATTAGATACATGCAAACCCCTTTGAGATGCATGTAAACCCTTCGATCTCACTACAATGCCCTCCTGTGTGTCCTCTCATTCTATAAAATCTGTGGATTAATGTCTTGACTTTGCACAGAATAACTACAAAGCAACTGGATCATCTACTGCCTGATCCCCCCATCAGTAAGCTCCCCTGAATAAAACACTGTGTAAACCAAAACAAGTTGCCTTCTTTGTTTCTCAGTCTCAAAGTGCCTTCTCCATTTGGAGGATACTTTATTGTCCCTCTCCCACCTTCTAACACAACAACAAAAAAAGAGAGAAACCTAAAGGTAGCAAGAGTAGAGATTATACATAACCTACAAAGGAACTTCAATGGGGGTATCAGTGAATTTCTCAGCAGAAATCGTACAGACTAAGACTAGGATGATATATTCAAAGTGCCAAAAGAAAAAATAACTGCAAACCAAAACCAAACAAACAAACAAACAAACAAAAAAACCCACAAACAACAAAAAAACCTTTCTGGCAAAATTATCCTTCAAGAATGAAGGAAAATAAAGACTTTCCCAAACAAACAAAAGCTGAGGGAATTCATCACCACTAGACCTGCCTAATGAGAAGGGCTGAAAGGAGTTCTTCCAGCTGGAATGAAGGGAAGCTAACTAGTAACATGAAAATATAGGGCTGCCTGGGTGGCTCAGTCGGTTAAGTGTCCAATTCTTGATTTTGGCTCAGGTCATGATCTCACAGTTTGTGATTCGGGCACCACGTTAGACTCTGCACTGACCTCACGGAGCCTGCTTTGGATTCTCGGTCTCCCTCTCTCTCTGCTCCTCCCCCACTTGCTCTCTCTCAGAATTAAATATTTAAAAACGAAAAATAAAAAAAAATACGAAAATATAAAACACACTGATAAAGGCAGACATGCAGTCAAATTCAGAAAACTCTAATACTATAATATGATAGTGTGTTACCCATTTTACTATAAAGGTCAGAACAAGGGTAGCAAAAGTAAGTATTACTATTATAATTTGCTAATGAATATACAATATAAAAAGAGACAAATCATCGCTAAAAAGCATAAAAGGAGGAGAGTAAAAGGGTGGTGATTTCATGTGAGATTGAGGTTAAGCTGTTATTAGTGTAAAAGAGACTTAGATCTATAAGATGTTTTAGGTAAGTCTCATAGTAACCACAAAACAAAAAATTATAGTGGATTCGCAAAAGTTAAAGACGTAGGAATCAGAGCATACAACAGTGACAAATCACAAACCGACAAAGGAATGCAGCAAGAGAGGCAAAAAGGAAAAAGGCAACTACAAAACAGGCAGAAAGCTATTAAAAAGATGG